CGCGGATGATCTCCCTAACTCGATCTTTTGTCACCACTGGCCCCTCCTAGCCGATGACTGCAGGCCCAGCTGGGGCATCCTGATCGCCTTGCCCTGATCCTGATCCGGATCCAGACACAAAACGTCTCGTAACCACCATACTGAAAATATAACAGGAAGATATTAGACAATCTGCATAAATAATTAGGAACCAACTCCCGACTAAACCCTAGGGGTTGTGAATTCCCTGCTACGCATATAGGTCCTATGTTTTCAGTAGTATGTGCCCATACTACCTTCTACACCTACCCATATTTTTCTCAAGTATCATCATAACACCCTAACACTATACATGCATATGGTAGTCGCTCGACGTCACTCATCCATGAGACTTCCACCAACCCCTGCAGCACTAGTGTATGCTAACCATACATAACGCTCGACCCTATAGACTTTCGAATATCATATTCTACTCTAGGCCCTAATTAATAAGAACATAACATAAGGCCAAATCAAACATTCTCGGGCTATAAGATCTTAGTTATGCACAGCCGTGATACATACACAAGCAACCATAGTAATGATGTCAATCTCAAATAAGAAAACCCTAGGCTAGCAGGCATCATGTAATTAGGCAATTCTATCATGCAATTCCTGAGAATCCCTAGCCTAGTACTAGCATGTTGTTCTAACATATCACATAATCAAATAACTATATGGTATTTTGGGGTTTACTTACTAGCTCAGGCTGATCATACACCCTACATCCTCCTTTACTTATTTTGAAAACCATTTAAAACTATTTTGAAAAATCTTTCCTCGATTTGAGACTGGATTCACACAAATTTTCCTCCAATTCACTCAAACCAAGGCTCTGATACCAACTTGTAACACCCATAAAATCATGCCAAATTAAAACTTTTTCAACACACTTAAAATCCATTTAATCATTACATAATTTGTTTTCAAAATAATAATCATCAGAGTATCCCAATTTCCAATCATAAAACATAGCAGCAGGAGGAGCGGTACGATCATGCCTTCGCCTTCCCTCGATCACCATAAGCACCTAAAACAACAAACTGAAACTGTAAGCCCGAAACCATTGTGAGCTACTCCTAAAATAACACCCTTACATATCCATAATCGTATCATATCAACAAATACAGGACAACATGCATAATAAGCCTTCAGCCTGACTGGACCGCCTCGCAGGGCCTACAACCCATCTGGAGCGCTCCCGAGCCTTCAACATGATTGGACCGCCTCGCAGGGCCTACAACCTATCTGGACTGCTCACCGGGTATGGTGGCCTACCGCACAAAGCATGACCGCCTCAACCTAACCCCCAATCAAACATACATATGCACATAAATATCATACGCAAGCTCATATCATATAACAGTCAAACCGATCTAACAGGTCACTCATCATAGCAACATCCTAAAATCCGGGATACAAACCTAATCAGTCACTAACGTAGCATCATTCCATAATCAGGACACTGACCCAACCAGGTCACTAACATAAGAATATCAGCATCCTAACTACCAGGATGTAAACCAATACACATATCATGCTTTAATCTGGATACAATCATAAAGGTTCATCCTTGGTGCCTTAGACCCTACTGATATAGTAAGGATAACTCACCTCGCAATTGTCGACTCGTAAGATAAGCTCAAACTCTCAGATCACCACCACGAACTCCACCACCTATATTCATTGTAAAACCATACTTGTAAATTTCCATCCTCCCAAAACGTCTCCAGAAGCCCACTGGTCAACCCTTAGTCAAAGTCAAAGTCAACTGTCAAGGTCAACAGTCCATGTTGACCTCAAATCGTCAAGTTCCTAAGGTTTGTGGTCGTAAACTCCTTGGCCGACTCGTCGAGTTTCCCTTGCAACTCGCCAAGTTCATATATGTCCAAAAGTTGGGAAAACCGTATCCGACTCACCGAGTCGCTCATTCGACTCGTCGAGCCCACAACAATCTTCATCAGACTCGCCGAGTTGACCATACCACTCATCGATTCCCTTCTGTCGTTCATCCATACAGATGCTTTTTAAGCCATACAAAGGCTCCATATTGGAGAACCAGCTTCCTAAGGCATTCTTATCACGTAAAGTTGCAAACTTTCTGCTCTCTCGCCAAGAAAGAGTTGCTTTCGAGAAAGTATTAGGAGAACGACATAGCCATATCAGAGGCACCGGTCGGAAACCTTGTGCTATCTCGCCAATTTCACAGCCATCGCAACCACCAACACAGCCATCACAGGTAAAACAAGATTATTTAATTTCAATAAACGCATGTTGATTTGGTAATTTTTGTTTTCGGAGATTATTTTCTAAAAGCTTTGGTAATTGGTTTTTTTATCCCAAGTGCAACAAATAGCAATGTACTTTATTTTTTTGTCTTAGTTTAAAAAAAATGATATACATTTGCATCAATAAATGCATGTTGATTTGGTAATTGTGCTTTTATCCCAAGTGCAAAATATAACAATGTATTTTTGGTATTTATTGTATTTTAAGTGCAAGAAATATCAATGTACTTTGGTATTTCTTGTATTTAAGGTTCTTTAGCACAAATAAAGTAAAATTATTTAATTTCAAGTGTTTATATTTTAAGTGCAACAAATAGAAATGTACTTTTGTTTTTTGTCTCTAGTTTAAAAATAGCAATGTACTTTGACATCATAATATGCATGTTGATTTAGTAATTTTGGTTTGTGGTTATTATTTGCTAAAAGTTTTGGTAATTGGGTTTTTATCCCAAGTGCTAGAAATCACAACGTAGTTTGGTTTTTTGTCTTAGTTTAAAAATAGCAATATACTTTGGCATCGATAAATGCATGTTAATTTGGTAATTGCGTTTTTGTCCCAAGTGCAAGAAATAACAATGTATTTTTGGTATATCTTGTATTTAAGTGCAAGAAATAGTAATATACTTTGGTAGTTTTTGTTTATGTTTGATAATTTAATTTATAAGTTTATATATGTTGTTGTTTATTATGTAGTTGGAAAATCTTCAGGAAATACTCAATGACCCGGCATGCTGGGATAAACTTTATGCGTTTTTTCAATTGGGGAATAATCAATGAGGAAATGATGAGAACGGAGATGATGGCTCGTTGGATAATTAATTTGTGTTTTGTATGTTACACTTGTCGTCACACTTTGTTACTTGTTAGAATTGTAAAACTTTGGTTATTTATTTTGGTATGAAATTAATTATAACAGTATTTGTTATCTAATTGGATGTTGTTATGTAATTTTTTTTCTTCTGTATTTAGTATCGTTATGTATCGGTTTATTATATACCCAAAATCGTTAATTAAAAAATTAAAAAATGAAAAATGTTATCACCGACGACAGAAGTATTACCGGCGACAGGAACATTAACGGCGACAATTATCTTTACTAGCGACATTTTGATTAATAACGACAGAGTAGTAGTAGTAACGACTTTTTACCGGTGACTTGTCGCCTCTGTTACTTTTACTGTCGACTTTTGTCGCTGCTAATTTTTTTTTCTTGTAGTGAGTTAGTAATAAAAATATTAATCTTCCCTTTATAACATGTCTATTTCAATATAATAATATTTAAGTATTTTTGTAGATCTATTTCATGATACCAATGAAAACAAAACTTTAGAAAGTCTATTATTTGCGAATTGTATTTCTTCAATTTTATTTTCATTATTTGACGGTTAGGGTTCTTCACCTTCAACGTCATGTATTGCTGATATAAATTTTCTTTGTAGTAATGAGACATTTTCACCAAACAATCTTTAAAAAAATCACATTTTTTCTTAGATCCTATTTATCAAGGATTAAAACTAAATACCTAATTCAAAAGCAACAATGACATATTAACCTTCGAAGACTAGAACGTAATATATGGAAATTGAAGCATCCAATAAATTTCTACCATTGATAAGATGAATACCAAAAGTCCACCTTTGGGTCCAATATCCACAATCATCCCTAACATTTTTAGCTAATCGGGGTGCATGAAGTCAAGAATTAAAGCTAGAAGCAGAAGACGCTGGCCATAAAAAGTTAGTTTATTCTTCAAATTGGTTGTAGTGAAGAATAGAAACGTACACTCTAGAAATTATTAATAGGGATATGTTAAGTGAACGTAGATATAATGATAAGCCATGTCGGTCTTGAAAAGATATTAAACTGGTTATAGAGGGTTAGAGTAGCCATATTGGAAAAGAAAACTAAAGTGTCTGATTTTTTTTTTACCATTTATTGCCGCGTCGCGCATCATACACGTAACATCTGACCATTCGCAACTGTTTGTTTTTCTGAAGACTTTTATCTTAAAAACTGTTGCGCGTATGCTGCGTGGCGCAACACTTGACTCTCTGTTTCATACCTCTTAACACCTTACTTTAACTTATCGCAGCAATCTGTACAGATTAAAAACAAATAAACTTTTTATTATATGCTGCAGCCGTGTGGTCCCCCCTTCTGCTACAACAAAGGGTTGCAGTGATGATCCACAAACTTCAGAAATTTTCGCTTCGAAAAAACTAACCACACCTAAAATGTAGATGATTTTTATTGTCCAAAATAAAATATTTTTGTAAAACCAAAATATAGTCAAAATATACGGATTTTTCTATAAGTTTCCAATAATATTTTTTTATGAGAAATTATAATTTATTTGTTTAAAGAAATTTGAAACTGAAAAAATGTATGCAAAACGTAAAATACAGCTTTTAATTAAGATGAAACCGTTAAAATTAATGGTATTAATTTTCAAATACAATTTAGTAAATAACACAACATTCCAAACACTAATCAATAATAAATATGTTTCAAGATGTACAAGTATGTGGTTAAGTTTGTAGAATTATATTTATATTATAGTATAGTATATATGAATATGAATTTACAAAATAATTGTATGGTCCCCACACGTGCTAGCTTGGGTATGGATTAAGAGGTCTCTCACGTGCCAAAGAGTCTTTATAAATACAAGCACGGTTGAGGAGTGGACAACCCAAAAAAAAAGGACTAAAAAAATACACCATCTTCCCTCCCTCCCTCCCCTCCAATGTCTTTGATTTTATACTAATCCATCCATCACACTAGTGGCTACTGCTCTCTTCTGTCACACGCAATTTCGGCCTTAGTGTGTGTGTGTGTGTTTCTTGAAAGGTTAAAAACAGAGAGCCGATTCTTCTTTTCAACCCACCGATTGTTTTGTATATCAAAAGGGAAAAGTCGATAGGGACATGAATAAGATGGAAAGAGAGAGTGAAATCAAGGTATCAAAGTTCAAAAGAATTTGTGTTTTCTGTGGGAGTAGTCAAGGAAAGAAAAGCAGCTACCAAGATGCTGCTATTGAGCTTGGGAAAGAACTGGTATTTAATTTAATCTTTTCATTCCGAATCCGTTTTTCTTTGATATATTTTAAAAATGTGTTTTTGAAACCTTGTTTCCGATTGTCTTAATGGGGTTTTCGTTTTTGTTTGGAATCAACAACTATAATGGCATAATGCTTTCCTTTTCAAGATTTTGGTTTCACCATTTAGCAAAAAGATGAAGGTTGTGGGGTTTGGTTTCTTAATGACTTTTTGTTTGAAATCGACAATAAGAATGTGTTTCCTTTTCAAGATTTTTGTGGGTTTTGTTTTCTTTTCAAGTTTATTGTAGGGTTTTTTCATGAAATGAAATGATTTGAATTAATACAGGTTTCAAGAAACATTGATCTCGTGTATGGAGGAGGTAGCATTGGCTTAATGGGATTGGTCTCGCAAGCTGTCCACGATGGTGGTCGTCATGTTATTGGGTAATCGATCGACATAATGTGTGATCTTAATTCCTATTATTCTACCTCAAAAAAAAAAAAAAAAAAGTAAAACGTAATTATTAAGATTAACACCGGATGATTAAAAAAACAAAATCACTGTGTTTGTTGTTGTAGTTTTTCGTTGATTGAAAACTAACTTTTTGTCATGTTATTGTCTCCCTTCTTCTGCAGGGTTATTCCCAAGACGCTCATGCCTCGAGAGGTATGTCTAAATATCAACGAAAAGTCTTGAAACTTTCCATGTTTTTATATATATATTACACTATTATACATAATATCTATCTATAACATAAGAAAATAAATGTTGTACACTTTGCTAGTGCCTTTCTTTTTTGTTGTCTAAAAAGCTAGCATTATTTGTGTTGTTACGCATTTATTTCTTGTAAATATGTTGGCGTTATCAAGAGTACAATCTGGAGCAGGTTTTATGGTTTTTGCCTTCAAATGACTTGTATGATTTTTTCCTTTTGTGGTGTCATATTTTTCCTGATATTTTCAGCGTGTACGTACAGTTGGCCTCTTGTATCTTTCTTCCTTGTCATTTTCTTAATATACATACAGCATTATCTATATGTATATATGTATGAGTAATTGAGTATACACATACATATATTTATTTATATATAAATATGTGTGTGTGTGTCGTACTGAAAACTCTGGAAAACTCTGAATCTGTAAAAAGATAAATTGAAAGTCCACCATTCCTGCAACCCTCATCATTGTTTTACTGCACACACAAACACGACACTCGATATCTATATATATTTTATATTTTTGATGATTAATTTATTTAATTGAGTGTGATTTACGTTATTTTATTTGTTGATTGTTTTGTGTTTTTTTTTTGGCAGTTAACTGGTGAAACAGTAGGGGAAGTGAAAGCAGTGGCAGATATGCATCAAAGGAAAGCAGAAATGGCGAAGCATTCTGATGCTTTTATTGCTTTACCAGGTTAAGTATAAAATCTGCTTTCATATTCTTTCACTAAAATCTCATAAACAGCATTTAACTCATTACATAAAAGGGATGTCAGGTGCTTTTATTTATTTGTCTTCTTTCTTTCATTCAATTGGAGATAAAATTTCAGGATTTATATATGAGGTGGGGAGATGAAGAGGACCCACAAAATTAGTAATTTTTTTTAAGAGTGCTGTATTTATTTATTATATTTAAAGGGAAAAAGTAACGCCTCGCAACATGAAAAATGCTAAAGGAAAATACAAATGGGTCTTATTCATGTTGGAATGAATTAAACGTGCTTAAAATTTTAATGGATATTTGTAGAAAAGTTTTTTAAACTGTTTTTGATAGTAACAAGTGAATACAAATCGGCAATTAAGTAAAGAGATGTATGTAAACTGTTGACATTGACTCTTTGAGTTTTTAGTTGATTAAAAATCAAGAAATTGGTAATTAATGGTTGGATTAAGTATTAACACATAGACACGAATCCCGATATTAGTCTTCAAGAACCCAACAACAATATCTGAACACTGAAAATAAAGAAACCTTTACATTTATTTCTTCGAAATTTCTTAATTTATTTCAAGTGTACAATCACTGATTCTGAACCCATTTAAGGGAATTTGATATCGTTATGGTGCACGTGACCTAATTTAGTAAAAGCTTCACTTCCTTTCAGTAATTTCAATTTCACCATTTATGGTATATGTTCTTGCTATCAAAATAAACCCAATTCATTTACATCCTTAATGTGTTGAGATTTCAATCAAATTGCAGGTGGTTATGGTACACTCGAAGAGCTACTTGAAGTGATAACATGGGCTCAACTGGGAATTCATGATAAGCCGGTAAATTTCATGTCTACGAATTTCTAGGGTTTATAATCAAGAAAGGGATTAAGATGTTAATTAATTGATCTTGCAGGTGGGTTTATTGAATGTTGATGGATACTACAATTCATTACTGTTATTCATCGATAAAGCAGTAGAGGAAGGATTCATCAGTCCAAGCGCACGTCACATCATTGTATTGGCACCAACAGCGAAGGTTTTGGTTCGAAAACTTGAGGTAAAGTACCCAAAACGAAATTGTTGACTTTTTGAAGTCAAGGAAAGTTGAAAGTCAAGTGTTTGACTTTGTTTGACAAATTACAGGAGTACGTGCCTTGCCATGAAAGAGTTGCTTCGAAATTGAGCTGGGAAATGGAGCAACAGCTTGACTACAGTGACGATGATATTTCTAGGTGATGAAGAATGGATGCAGCAGGGTGTTTTTGGTTTTTGGTTTTTGGTTTTTTTTTTTTTTTTGATGAAGAGATTTGTGGTAGTGAAAAAGGTGCTGACTTTGAAAGGGTTTTTTGGTCTAAATTAGAATCTTGATCTTCTTTTTTTGTAAATTATTATTGAAGATGTAATGACTTAAAAGAGTGTATGTGGGTAACTCTCACATATTTCTTTCACCCTTCTCAAGCAACTTAAGTTTATTGTAAAATACAATATTAGATGCCAAATGGAATTGCAAGATCTCTTATGTTTGATGTTTTGGGAATTTCGATCTCTAAAGCGAATTCTTTGTGATGAAATTTCGAAATGAAGATCAATGTTAATTGGAAGTTATAAATTGGTATAAATTTGAGATGTTTGGTTTGAAAATAAAGCTTATGGATGGTTGATATATTTTTGACATAACTTGTGATTAACTGAATCTTAACTTGGTAAAAAGAGTTCGATTGATTCATCTTTAATTAAGAATTAAGTCTAATTGTTGCTCTATCATAAACAAAATGTGGGTTGAAAATATTCAAACATGTCGACAAGAAAATCAAATTGCTTCTTTGCCAAGGCTTACATTTTTGGTGAAGTCTTTACCTGAGTCTTTTATTTTATTTATTTATTTTCTATAGATTGTTTCTAGATAGAGAGTGTTTTTCTTGAACTTGTTATTGCGATGTCCCTAAAACAAAGCATAACTCTCAATCTATAGATACATTGAGAGGATCTGATCTTTGTCTATTATGTCAGACATGACGTTTTTATCCACTAAAGATTACATTATTGTGGACAACTGGGAAGTTTTTAATAATGAAGAAATGCATTATTATTTTGAGTGGCGGGGGCCATTTGACGCGTGAAGCATCTTTCTTAAAGATGATGAAGATTTGTCATCTTCAGAGGACGGCCCCTCCTTTGTCTCTAAATCTTTGCTTTCGCAAAAGTGACAAAGATTTTCTTCGAAAAGTTGTTCTACATGTCGGCAGAAGTGTTGACGTATAGCATTGGATACACTTCCATGCTATTGTTCATGAATTTTTCGCCAAACTTGGAGGGTTGACGAAGATCTTCTTGGCTGGTGTTATTATAACTCCAGCTACTAACCATGTTTGGTATATATTCGTGAGTATATTTATTTTGTGCTTGTAGAATTCTGAAATTTATATGCAGTAAGTCCTTTTTATTACTGAAAAGTATTTCTTTATGTTGAGAAATTTCAATCTCTTTATTATGAATTCTTTCGAAAATTAGCCAACAAAGAAAGCAACCACACAGACCAAAGAACGATACAGGCTGACTTGAATAGTTTATATTTATGTAAGTATAACACTTACTACATTACAATAACACATTTAACAATTTTTATATTTATTCCCTTCTTTGTTAAAAAAAAATTCCGTACACATACACACACCAAAACTGGTATCAGAGCCTTGATAAATATGACATTACATTATAATAAAACGTTATCAATATAAAAAGATTCAATTTAAAGCAAGGAATGACAACTTTTCAAGGATTCGGGCTAATTACTTGACCTTAAGATAGATTATTGATTTGGGGTAACAAAATTGATTGATAAAGATATGCAACAATTTTTTAGATGGTATCTTAGTTGAGCATTCAGGTATAAAATTTATTTAAAGTTGAAGAAATCTTTTGGTTTTATATTGTGATTTTAGGGATGGAATTATAATTGGAAGTGATTTGTACACAACAATTTTTTTCCATACACAACAATTTGTGTAAGTAGTTGTATGTAACATCCACAATTTCGACTCAAATTTTAGATCTTTAAGGATAAATTTTAAAAAAATAAAATTAATTTTGATTAAAATAAATAATTGTTATCTTATATTATATTATAAAACATATTAGTCATATTTTGAATTTTAAAATATATAAGTTACAAAGTTTTTTTATACAAATCAATTATGCGTAAATAAATTATTCATACTTGCCAAAAGTTTGAAGATTTGAATTAAGTAAAATACTTAAGAAATTCAATTTGGAGAAAATGAAAATTTTAAAATATTAAATTCATGTATATGAAATTAATTTATATTTCTTAAACTAAATAAAATTATTAAATAGTTTACATGATTAATATAAAAATATAATATAAACATAACGTATAAACATAAATATTTTATTTAAAAGTGGTATTTTTTTTATTACATAATAACTAATAATAATATTCAATAATTATTTCCCCGTAAGAAATTTTTTGCCAAAAAAAAACTATTTATCACTGTCGTATTATGCGGACACACACATCTAGTTATTAAAAATGAGTATTTAATAGGTTAGAATTTAAGCTAAAGGGTTTCTAAAATAGGAGTTGATTTTTTAAGACTTGGAACAAAAAAGTGAAATTAAAAAACCGAAACCAAAACAATATATGAGAGTGCTTGTTTCAATATTTATTTAAACCGACAAAATTCGGTTCGGTTTTACGAATCCTATCGACTGATTAAAACCGAACCGACCAAAAATCTATCCCATAAACCGAACTGATTACATATAAAATTATATATTCATCTATTAGCTTATGTGTAATGTAATATATATATATATATATATATATATATATATATATATATATATATATATATATATATATTACATTACACAGAACAAAAGTTCAACAATGAACTATTTTAAACCATAAAACAAAAGAACCATTATTTTTTCAAATCTTAGATCTTATTATTTATCGAATTTTTTTTTAAAAATATAGAAATTCATAACTTTTTATTTTCTTTCCATTGATATCAAATATGGTGTGTGTGTGTGTGTATATATATATATATATATATAGAGAGAGAGAGAGAGAGAGAATTTTTGTATCTGTTCAGATTCACATTATGAATCTTCACTATAAATCATTAATTTTGTATAAATTTACTGTACGAATCTGCATAAATTTACAGTTTGAATCTGCACATATTTAAATTCGCAGTGGGAATCTGAATATATCAATTTTTTTTATCAAATTTGATATCAATGGATGAAAGATAAAACGTTATAAATATTTATATTATTAGTTTTTTTATGAAAAAATTACTCTAAAAATTGAAAAAAAATTGGTTTCTTGGTTCTAAGATTTAAAATATTCATTGTTGAACACAACCATTATATATATATATATATATATATATATATATTATATATATATATATATATATATATATATATATATATATATATATATATATATATATATATATATATATATATATATATATACTAACATGACTTGTTTTTACTTTAATCCTGAAATATGAGTTACTTTAAACAAAAAATACGGATTACAATAGAGGACTTGTATTAACCTATAGTTTGGATTATGGGTTACTAAACCCTTTGTTCTCGATATGGATTATTAAACTCGTTTGACTTTGAATTTGGGACTATTGTACCATTGATTTGAGATAAATGATAATTTGGTATTTGTTTTGGTGATTTTAATTGATTATAAGGGTTTGACTCGAATGTAATGATTGTAATCATTACTAACTCAATAATTAGTAGCTTTAGATCTTTTCTATAGGTTTTCTTGCCTAATTTATTTTGATATGTGTTCATACTGAAAACTTGTAATTTGGATTATAGATTCGAGATGGCATTTTGAAGGCCATTGTTTGTGTTGTTAAACTTGAGCTATATTGTGGTATTCATGGTTTTTAGTACACACAATAAAATTTGGTGAATTTACACATTTACTCATTTAATTATTTTTGTGATCAATAGATCTTTAACGTTAGAAAATAACGACAACTTAAGGGTTTGGGAGGAATTGTATCCGGTTTTACAGGTGACATACTGACGTGACTTGCAAAACCCATATAAAGTTTTGGCACTGTAGCTCAACAAAGTTTGGCAAATTTAAACAGTTAGTCACTCAAATAACCGACTGTTCATGTATCAGGTCATATAGTGGTGTAGTTGATATATAACATTCAACTTTAATTGTTTATTAGGCATAAAAAATATTTGAGTGACTAAATATGTAAATTCGTTAAATTTTGTTATGTTACGGTGCCAAAAACCCTAGTATTTAATTCTTGCAACTCTACTCAATTCGGTAACGTAGACTTTTGTTTAGTATTTGGGATCGTTGTTCCATACTTTTAAAACCTTTCAAACTTTAAAACATTTTTATATAAAATCAAATGGTTTTATAAGTTATTTTAAACTAATATGATGAGTGTTTCGATTCATCAATCAATTGTCATAAATATATCGGGCATCACCGAGCGAGACACGTGACAGGTTAGCACTTAGCACCTTGTGATGGAGCGAGGCATGTACGTCGTATAGTTTTAAAAGGGTTTGCAACTTTGTAGTGGAACTTTGGTTCCACCTATTAAAAGTGGATATTGAGCCGAATATGATCATGTTTTTTAAACATACTTGGATATTTGAAAACGATTAAAAATTTCAAATAGACAAAACTGCAAAATTGGTCCTTGTGGTATTCGAAAAAACGTGGATAAGATCCAAAAAGTTTCTGACTTGAATAGGAGGTCCAAAATCAAGATTTTTCCGTGATTTTGGTCCTAAAATTAAGAAATTTTTATAGTTTTGATCCATGGAGCACTTGAATTGACTGTTATGCTCTTTTGTAGTTTTGATCCATGGAGCACTTGAAATTTTTGTAGTTCTCATCTGGACAATATTTTGTAATGATCGATTCAATCCATGACTCCAAGCATTTTCGACATCCAACGAACCAGTGAAGCCCTAGATTTAAAGGTAGGGTGTTTGTGTTTTCTCTCTGAAGAAGAACAAAAGTTTGGTTCTTAAAGGTGGGGCTTTTCCAGTAAATCGAGATTTCAACATCTATAAATTCAGATTTCATCAGTTCATCATTGGTTTATCTCTATCGCATCTTCTATTTTTAAATGTCATGTTCACCACCACTATCTTTATCTCCCTCTCTAATATATTCTTCTCGATTTCTCCGGTAAGGTTTTTTTCTTTTTCAGAAATCAAACCAAGAAACAAAACAAAGGGGACTGGGTTTTAATTTCATATGCTT